GAGTCATTACATGTGGGGAAGGATTAGCACCCCGACAACGCCCTAAATCGGTACCTAGTCGATTAATTAATTTTCTTTGTAATAAAATGTATGATTTATTTTAAGATCCCCTAAAATAATATTTTTCAAAATTTTGGATGAAAGATAATAATATTTAATTATTTCTTATCAAGAAGAACCGATCTATCATCCCTTGAAGCAATCGATTCTTACTATAATTGAAATAAAAATATTAAAATTTCATTCTAAATTTCAAAATAATAGTACCCAAAATAATTTTTAGAGTGAACTTATGTAAAAGTCAGGCAAATTAAAAAGAGATCAAGCAATGATTAATTATTTATTTACCAATATTTAAAGAGAATAAGTATATTCAATTAATTAAATATCTTGAGACGAAACCATATATTCGATCTAACTGTCTTTTCTCGATGAATTTAATTAGAAGAATATGATCTTTTCCTCAGTCCCCGAATTTTTAAAAAAAATTAGATTCGATTTAATTGGTGTTACTTGACAGGTTATACTTTCAAAAATTATCGAAAGTAACTTTCTTATACGTTAAGACAGTCACTTTATGACAATATTAAAATGCTCGAATATTACCTTAATCAATTTATTTTGCATCGAGTCTAGTGATGCTGATGAGGATATCATATAAGATTTATTATGACTAAAATAAATTAATATGCAAAGTACTATAGTTGTAAATAATTATCTAATAATATGAAAATATTAAAAATATTAAAATTAAGATAATAAAATACATATTTCAAGAAAAAATGAAACATTATTATTAATTAATAAAAAAACGTGGGATTAAAAAAATATATAAAAAATGTGGACACAACTTAGTGGAATGCATTTTAAAATAGAACACCATAATTATAGTGCTCCACTTTCTAATTTTTATTATTACTTTTAATAATAGTATTACTTTATGTCATTATTATTATTATTTTTATTCATTATATTATTTTATTTTAAGCACTAATATATATTATTAGGATACACATATGTGACTAAAATAAAAAATAATAAATAAGTACTAGATTTAAAATATTTAAACATAAAAGGTAATAATAAAATAAAATTGCAATTAAATAATAACCAAAATAATAATATAGGATTAAATTTAAAAATATATAAATTATTTGTCAATATTCGAAATATTATAAAATATATATATTAAAAGTGTAAATAATCCTAAAATATTATTTAAATATATGTAAATATATCGGTAATGACTAAAATAAAAAATAAATAAAATGTGAAGACAAAATTAAAAGATATAGAAACCTGATTTCGGTGACTATAATAGAAGATTACAAAACACAGGGACCATAGACATGATTTTTCAATATTGAAATTGCACACACACTCCCTCCCCAAAACGACGTAGTTTTGATAAGTGTATAAATAGACCTTAAATGGCCATTTTCCCTCCTTTTTCCTCATTTTTCTATTTTGCTTCTCTCTCTAGCTCTACCTTCTCTCTAAATTATCTCACCGGAGGAAGCTCCGTTCACCAGCCAGTTACTATTTCGGCCACCGGCCGATTACTATTCATGCCGTCGGTCACTATTCATAGTTGAAAAAAATAAAAATAACTCAAATTGTAGATCGGCTCACCCTAAACCCAAAACCACCCTCTTTTTTTTCTAAAAAACTTCAAAACGGCCTAGATCTAAGATTTTACCTTCGGTAAAACAACTTTTCCGACGATGTTTGGGCTTCGACGAAGGTAAGATCTCCTTTCTTTTCTTCTCCTTTCGGTTTGTTTCTACTCGTTTGGTGTTGCTTGCTCTCCTCCCGTTCTTGTCGTTGTTCTTTCCTGCTGTTTTTTGTAGGTTTTCAAGGCTTTTTATAGGCCTCGGAAGGCCTTGGACCACCATTTATTTTGGTGAGTCACCGGATCTACTATGGTGACTCACCATAGGGAGCGAGGTGTGCGACTCTCCTGCATCTTCTGGAGTCTTTTGTGCGGCGATGACGTCATGGCGACGGCAAGTTGGAGAAGATGTGGAAACCCTAGAAGTATCTGAATCGGGTCTTGGGCCGGGTCTGGATCTGGGCCTCCGGTTTTGTAAATGGGCTCTAAATTTATTTTGTAATAATAATAATAATAATAATAATAATATGATAGTCTCAGACAAAATGATTGTCGACACCTTCCAAGTATCATGTGCAAATCATCTATAATACCATAAATCAATAAGACATCATTGAATTTTCTTTTGACTAGTAGTGGCATGTATAATTATGTCAGTAGTTTCTATTTATCGTATTTATTTTAAATAATTTGAAATAGTAAACTAGAACTATTTTAGTTTATTTTACTTAGTTTAGTTTTATTAGTATTTATGCATGAAAATAATATATTATGTTATTATGTTTTTAGAAGATTTCTCTAAAAGACATGGTTTAATAAAATTACTGATTAACAAATGAATTTATTTTCCTGTGATAAAGAAATATATTATAGATTGAGATATACTTTAAAATATATTTTAAAGTTAGAATATGAGTATTTTCAAATGAAACAAAATTTTAGGCAAATTTAAGTTTAGTAAATGTTTTTAAGTTGATGTGACATTTTTTATTCGTATATCGAAACATATACGGGTTAAGGGTGTTATAGTACATACCTTATCCAAAGGCAACATGTCACCACTTGATGTCATAACAGCCATAAACGGTTGATACTCACGCGACAAACCCTTCAAAATACTAGCAATATGACCTACTAGAGGAATCAGACTTCCACATGAAGCCAAGGTATCACAAACTTCTTTAACCTTGGCAATGTACACACGCATACCATCTTCTCCCTTCTTGAGGGACTGAAGTTTACAATGTAAGCTCATCACCGAGGTTGAAGATCGAGTGGCAAAGTATTGCAACACCGTAGCCTAGATAGACGCTGATGTCTCAGCACCAACAAATTAAGATAAAATATGTGGACTAATAGTAAAAAGTAACCACGATGCCAAGGCACTGTCCTAAGCTACAAAATCATCATACGCTTCATTGGGAACAAGACTGCCATCTTCATCAACAACCATTTCAGGTGGAGATTGCATACCACAGGTAAGAAGACACTCAAGACGGTGGCTGTGAATAGTAAGTAAAACTTGTTGTTTCCACAACAAGAAATTCGTTTAATCTAATACCACATTGATCTTTTTGTTAGTAAACATCGAAGCAACAACACTCAGCAGTACAACGACCAAGAAATCGCAAGAAGATAACTTATTCAAGCAGAAGTATCATACCAGAATCACAAAAACTATCCAAATCACTGAATGAACATTTTTGCATAGAATCACTGTGATGAACCAAAGGCAACCATCTAGAGCTACGCAGCGAAGGAAGCAGAAGCTCCAGAATCTATGGCCATTAATACCATGTTAGAATAACAACCACATTACAAGAATGTATAACAAGAGGCTTATTCTTTACTGATCTATAGCACTGTTTTTATACAAGAACTACACAGTAACCTAAGGCTTCTATCAACTACTCATAACAACTATACAACAACTTCCTAACTACATAACTACTTACACGTCAACAATATCTTAATTAATTGATAAGTTGAAATCCTTGAATATTTCATTAGTTGTGATTTTTCAAAAAGATACATTTGCTCTTGTTGTAAAAGTTATCTGACAGAGATAATAGTACTTCAAGTTAATCTATCTTTTAGTAACCACTCCCTAACAACGTCACTAAAATTTGTTAGGTTGTTGAAATGATTCATGCTAAAAACAAACTTTACAGTAATGATAAAAATGGTCAAATTCCCAAAGAGTGATGTTAGATCAATTTTAAATAATAAACAAGAAAATAAAATTAGGGTTTATATAATGTAAATTAAATTAAAAGATTTAATAAAAATAATTAAAATAAATTAAAATTCATTGATGAAAAGAATATCAAACCAAGGTAAATTCAATTACTGATCTCAATGTATGATTATCTAAAATTTATTTGAATAGATTGATTATAGTTACTCGAGGCGTCCTACTAATCTAATTTCTTCTTAATTATTCGATAATTAAAATGATGTTCGAATGATGATTTCTATTGTTGATTAGACACTTTTGAGATATTTTAAAGATTTAATTTATCCAATAATTTTATAAATTAGAGATACTAGACCTTAATTATGTTGGTTTGCGATTAAACCTTTTTTTAAGTAAAACTAATAAATTTATTTTATTATTTTATTAACTATTTAGGATTATAATTAATCATGATGATAAGATCAAATTAATGATATTTTGGCCTAACCTAACACTGGTCAATATTCGTAATAATACGATATAAAGTACGTAACAATAAATGATTAACATAATGAATTTTCAAATATTTTATAAAATACATTAAATAAAAAATAAAAATATATCATAATATTTCTATTTGTTTATCGACATGGGTTAATATATTTCTAGTTGTTTAACATAATATATCATAATATCATAAAAATATATCATAATATTTATGAGATGGAACGCTAGAAAAATGGTTATTTAAAAAATTATTAAGTCATATTTTATTGATGCTAATAATATTAGATAGGTATATTTGTGATTTTTGAATTTCAAAGATTATCTATTTTATGAACATTTTAGAAATACATTTTTGTGATTAGAAATTTAATCCTAACTAATTTATATATAATATATTTATGTCTTTTATTCACATAATTTCATTTATAATTTTCTTAAAATACTATAAAATGAGTAAATTAGATATAATTTTATGTGAAGTAATGAAAATAAATAAAGATAAATCAAAGATGTGATACAGACCCAAATTTTAAAGAAATTAAACAGTCGATAGTTCCTGAGAAAGTTAAGGATACAGATGCCCCTAACATTACAGCACAAACACACAAATTAACCTTAAACAAATAAAGATGAGTTCTTAATCCTGTATGTTGTCAACACTAACTTAGTTTTTTTCTTCTTTTTTTTATATGATATGATTACGAACTAAAGATTTCCTTGAGAGATCATCTCCAGCAAATCCATTTCCAAGGGAAGCATGAAATTCTCAATGGCATTGCTGCTACCTTCTCCAAACATTGATCCGAAACTGTAGTCCATTTGCTGCTGTTGACGCTGACGACGAACATGATGATTAAAAGCTTCCATATTCGAACTCGTTGGGTTGAAACCTGAGTCTTCGAGTTGCACCGAGTGTGGGTTAGGGCTGGTCTCAGGGTTGGTAAATTCGGACACCATTTCCTGGTTGTCATCTTGGGTGTTTGGAGGCGATGTCGATGTGGATGTGGAAGCTGAGGTGGAGCTAACGGAGTTGATGTAGTTTTGGAGAAGAGAGGGTGCGGGAGAGGTGCGGCCCTTGCCTTTGCACCTCGGAGGTTGCCTTCGCTTGGTGGCGTTCCAATGGTTCTTTATAGTGTTCTCGGTGCGTCCAGGGAGTCTCTTGGCTATCTCTACCCATTTGTTTCCTATTTCTCTGTGGGCTGCAATCAGTATCCTGTCTTCTTCTTCACTCCATGAATCCTTCTGCAATTTCAAACAAACCCATATATTTTTGGGAAAATAATCCATATACATTATTTATGCACTTATATTTGATGCAGGAAGAGTATACAGATATATATCTTTACACTTTAGAATGAATCACCTGATGCCCCTTATTAAAAAATATAAATAATATTATATATATATATATATATATTAAAATTATTTGTCTAAGGATAATATGTCATAATATGCTGCATAATAGTGCAGTAAATTTATAAATTGATGCTATATAAATATAATTTGACTTTTTTATTTATATATAAATATAATTTTAACTTTTTCCTTTATAGACTCAAAAAGGTTTAATATTTTATCATCATATCCATGTTCATTAAGTTCAACAATCATATGGTCAAGCAAAAAAACTTCTATGTAAACATTTTGTCCAATAAAACTAACAAGTTTATTTTATATTAAATTTGAGAATTTTAATTAATTGTTATGATAAGTCCGAATTAATTATATTTTGGTCTAACCTAGCACTAGTCAAATTTTCTGATACTATGCGTTATCACACACATAACGATAAATGATTAAAATGGTAACTTTTAAATACTTTATAAACCACGTCAAATAAGAACCGTAACGTAAATGTTTCCATTCATTTATCGACGCGTGTTATCTATAATTGAAAATTTTAATTTTTACAACTAATACCATGTATGCATATGATGTTGAATGAATGCATGTATATCAACACATCATGTGATGATGTGCAATATTTTTTGTCCAAAACATTCATACATACATATATGTATATACAAGCATATATAGTATGATATAATAATATGGATATGTATGTACACACATACATGATCATACATGTATGTGTATGGTTAATGTGTTAATGTGAGATGAAAGAGGGAAATGAAAGGGGAAAATAAGGTAAGAAAAACCTTAATATCAGGCCTCAGGTGGTTATGCCATCTCTCTCTGCACTGTTTTCCTACTCTCCCGCTTAGGAGCTTAGCGATTTGAGACCATCTCTTAGTTCCATGCCTTGATACCACTTGTACTAGCAATCTACAAAAACATACACATAAACACAAATATATAATCAGATCTTCGTATAAACTAATATTTAACCGAAAGAAAAAACACAAAACTACAATAAAAACATAACAAGATGAAGAGAAAAAGTTAATTTCTCACCTGTCTTCTTGACAAGTCCATTGACCTTTGACAACATTAGTTTTCTTAACAGCTCTGTTAAGCCTTTGGATTTGAGGAACCTTCTGTCGTTGCTGTTGTTCTCATCAACTTTGTCTTGATTATTATTATTATTGTGATTCCCATTTTGATCTGCAGTGACGCATGAGACTTCATCACCCACTCTTGCGGCCACCGCTCGAGGCGGAGGCGTTTGGTGTTGCAGCTGATAACTCCGACGGTCGTCAGTTTCTGGCGGAGAGACTAGGGGTTGAGCTGAAGGTTTGTTTTGAGAAGAAACCCAGCAGGGTTCAGTACTTTGAAAGGATTGGAAAATCAGGCCATTGTTTGAAGCCGTACCGTGATCCGGTACCGTGAACGACATGGAAGGGACATAATCATTGAGGTCATCGGAGAAACCACCGGTGTAAGGCTGGAAAAAAAGATCGGTGAATGTTGAGGAATCCTCAAAGAAAGAATTCTTTGTGGACCCATCGATGGAAGAGTGATGAAAATGGTGAGGATTGGGAGGTGAGTCATGGCTATCATGGTCTTGGCTGAGATTGAAGTCGTGAACCAAGGCTTTGGAAGATGATGAAGAAGCCGAAGCAGAAGCTTCACCGGCCAAAGTAAAATTGGAGCCATTAAAGTCAGGTTTGAAGGGAGAATTGGAGTTATTTTCCGGAAAAAGGCTGGAAAGGAAAGGGAAATCGTCTCTAAAACTTGCATCAAACTCCATTCAGGCTGAACTGAAGCTTCAAGAGAAATGAAGGGAGGTCTGGTGTTTGTTCTGGAAAAAAATGATTTATAAAGGCTCATGCTAAGTTTCTATGTGGGGTCATTCTGATTTTTTAATTTATTTTTTATTAAAAAAATAGAGGAGATTTGAAAATTGAATTATATGGTAATATTTGATGAAATGGGAAATCAAAGGTTAATATTGAAAGTTGAATGTCTGTTAAACTTCCAAGTTAAGTGTTGCAAAGGACAAAACAAAATGGACCCAAATTAATCATTAGTTCGTTACAAAGATTTGTATTTTAGGGCAAATTCTCAGGTTAATCCAAATGAGACGTGGAAGACATGGAGAGGCCCTTCCATTCTTTTCAAAATATTATTCATTTTAATCTTTAATCAGTTGTACGAATCAAAACGTTCTATGTAGTTAAAGAGATTATTATTTTTTCTACAGATTTTAGATTTGAGCACGACGTTTATAGGGATGTTTAACCATTCATTATCAAATGATTAAAGATCTTCCATCAGATATTACTTTGCAATCATCTCAAACTAATAAAAAAATAATCTTTAATCAATTTTTAATTTTAATTTTATAGCATCAAAATCAAGATTAATACCAATTAAATGGTTTTTTATTTTGATTTTCTCTTTAATTACATCTTTCATTGCTTTATTCATAATTTATAATTTTTGAGAGAGGAAAAATTGGGACCTCTAATTTAATATTTATGGATTATAACTTTAAATGCATTTTACAAAAAACACAGAGAAAACGTGAAGAGATAATAGAGAGAAATAAGTCAAGTTTAGTCAAATTTACTCATTAGGACGAACTCATCGAAAAAATATAGAAAAATTACCACACAAAAAAACCACTATTAATTATCAAAACATATATATAGAAAAATAATAAATACATTTGTTTATAGTGTTTTCTAAAGAAAAATATTAATGAGTACTTAATTTTGTTTAGTTAAGATAATGTATAATACTTTTTTTCAATTTCGTGAAATAATCTATGAGTGCAATCTTTGTAAACAAATTTTAAACTAAAAATATTAATCGTGTTCTTCAGTAAAATACATTGATATATATATATATATATATATCAGAATTTATTACACCAATTATGTAATTATTTAAAAAAAATACTCTTTCCAAACAAAATGTCATATGCTTTGAAAGAATTGCAGTTTTTAGTGGATTTTTGGATTAAATAGGGTTTGATTTTATAAAATGCTACATTTCGAACGAAAGTAGTTTATTATTATAATTTTGATTTTGATTTATTTTTACTGTTGTTTATAGATTGCATTGGTGCCATCGTTAACTTCTGAGATTAAATTTAATTATTTATTAATAATATAATTTATGCATAAAAAATTAGGAGGACCCCCAAAAATTGAAAACTTCCTAGTGTCAAAGATTTTTCACTAAAATCATTTGGTCTTTGTAACTGAATATTTATTATTTATTTCCATTTTTGAGCCTGAAAATAAATGCCTCGCCAAATTTGATTTATGCTTAAGTTTTTGCCCAAAAAAGGAGAGGAATTTACAGTTACTTTCTTCATTTATGACGTCATTCTCACAGTTGAAATTTTGATTCCTTTTTCACTTGGATACTTGGGGAGTTGAAGTCAAGAATATCAATGATGGAAAAATTATTTGAAGTAAAAATTTTATTGAATTCACAGATAGTTTTAAAACAATAAAGATTTGATTTTATAAGCTTAATTTATAATTATATACACTAAATCCGTTTTCAAAGTCGAGAATAATTTAGCTAAACTAAGATCTATTTATTCATTTTTTCTTATTATAATATTAATTTATGGGTTTTTGCTAAAAGCATCTCATAAAATTATTTCAAGATAAAAAGATGAATTATAGTATTATTTCAAACTCAATCATATATGATTTGTGAGTTAAAAAGCACATATTGTTCAATCGTTTCACATATATCACCGTTCTCCTTAGAAAATAATTGATACATTATAGTATTATTATTTTCTCTAATTTTAGCTAGTGATTCAAACAATGTATCCTCCTATATATTCACTCAAGATCAAGATGCATCCACTAATGCAGGGTAAAATTTATAAATGAACTTATGACAAGTTATATCTCATCTTCTATGTCGTATTTGTCATAAAAGAAATTATTAATTATTAAATCCCACTCTAAATATTTGTTAGGATTAGTGGAACGCTGAAAGATGGAATGATTACTTTTATTGATATTTCTGAGAAATACAAAAAGAACAATTTGTATAAATTTTAAATTGTTGAAAAAAAAATGACCATTCAGCTCAGTTGGTAGAGCACAAGGTTTTTAACCTTAAGGTCATGGGATCGAGTCCCATGGAGGGTATTTCATGATTCGGAGGTCTCCTACGGAAGTTGCTCTCAACCTATTGTTGGGGGCAGCCTACTATCTTACCTCCCCTTACCTCATTACATATGGGAACAAGGGACAACCATTTTTAATTGTTGAAAAAACATGAGATAGGCCTGTATACTTTTTTTTATTGTCATTGTCTTTGCTAAAACGAGCATATCTCGAGCTCTTGACATCTAGTTGAGGTGTTTCAAGATATGTTGAAATGATAATTGATAGACGATCATGTTATAAGAAAATATCTTGATTCATAAATACCCAAATACCATATGAAAAATCGTTATTAGTCAACTGATATTTTCAAATTTTGGAATCAACTTTAATTTCTTATTCAAAAGATAAATTGTATATTTTTTATGCATATATCAAACAATATTACGAGGTGTGTAAGATTGATTTTCTATTCAATGACTTTCAAAGGAAAAGTGGGCCAAACTTTTCCTCTATTTAAAGGTAAGGATGCTTTTTTAAGGAGCGTTTTGTATGTTATTATCAACGGTTGAACATACAAAAAATGAAAATGTATAGGCCTCGTTAAAAAACTTCGGTACACCTAATTGGAGGGAAAAATACCATAAGCAAAGTCGAGCAATGCATTTACAAAGTGACCGAAACCAAAAGCTAACTTAAATAATGCTCCAATTACAACACCTCCAACATGAACATTGTTGGAAGTATTGTAAACAGAAGAATATGAACTGATTTATTGATACTATGGAAAAAACGTATATTTGAGTACAAGGTTGATGCTCCTTATATACTACTGCTCTTAGCTGCTAATACAACCACCTTAACTGACCAACTAACCAAAACTAACTTGCTAACAACCTTAGCAGTTATAACAGCTTCAACTTCAGGAAGCTTCTAAGTATACTGCTAATGTACACACTACATTAGTTGATTTAGCATGCTAACAAACATAAACTCTAGCAATAATTGACAGCCAGCTTTAGCCTGCCTACTCCATCTGCTCGTCACATGGATTTGACCTCATATCACAGCAAAACACAAGCCTTATACAAAAAAACAGCTTAGAACCAGTGAAGTTAAGGAGATCTACAAAGCAGTCACGGCACCAAACTACCTTAAAACAACAAATAAAATGGTGCCTAGTCCATAAGGAATATGAAAAACCAGCTCTGCTGATGACTTGGCACTGTCCAACATAGAAAAGAAAAGAAAAGAAAAAACTCAACAAAATACCCTGTTACTACTTCACTGTAATTATATCATTCACACGTCCAAAGAAATCCGAGAGAGGGGCATGAACCAGGCCATTTACATTTATTCCAAATCCGATCCTTACCACTGCTGAAACGAAAATTTGATCCACGCCACACGTTTTCTTATTGAACAGTACCTCATTCTTATGCAACCATATAGACCAACTGAAACCAAAAAACGCAATTGAAGTAATTGATTTTTTTCTCTTTAACCGTTAGTTGAACCATTTCTTTAATAAAAAATTATTAATCACATTGAAATTTTTGAAAAAAAAGTAATTCATAGTTTTATATTGATTTAAGTTTAATATAGGTATTTTTTTATTTGAGTTAAAATTTGATTGGGTTTTAGAAGTTTAATGAGAATAGTGTGGTTAAAAAATAGTTAGGTCTTTAACATATTTGAACTTAAAATATATATAATATATTAAATAATTAATATTTTTGGTTGAACTAATTTCGATAACAGACCATTTAATCGAGCTAATTTGATTTGATCAATTAATTAAGTTAAAATCAAGAAGTAAAGACCCATGTTTAGAGGGTTGAGGCAAGGAGACCCTAAGACCTTATCTCTTCTTGGTTTGTTGAGAAGGTCTATCATCTCTAATGAGACAAACTTCATCTAATGGGCAGCTAAAAGGAGTTAGGATAGCAAGAAGGGCCCCGCTAATAACCCACCTTTTTTTCCCGCAGATAATAGCCTAATCTTTGGCGAGGCTTGGGTAAGAGAGGTGATGAATATTATAGAGAACCTTGATGTGTATGCGCACTGCTCGGGACAGGTAATAAATTTTGAGAAGTCGTGAGTTTATTTTAGTTCAAATGTAATTGATTGTATGTTGTGTTCTGGGAGTTGCTAATTCGAATAATTCATAGAAATATTTAGACCTCCCCTCAATTGTAGGAACCCATAAGAAAAGGGTGTTGGAGACAAGCTGCAGACAAAAATCAACAATTAGAGTTCATGTCTCCTTTCAATGGGGGATAGGAGTTATTATCAAATCTGTCTTGCAGTTTATGTACGGTGTGGAAACTTCGATCCATGTTAGTCGTGATTGCACGTTTATTTACGGTAGGGGAGGTTATCACCTTCATCCTGGTCTATGGGATGGAGTTGGACTCGCTTGGGGGCCATCTACAATAGAGCAGGCCCCATAATTTGACAGGTCAGACTCTCCCGATGACACCGACGGTGAAGGTAAATGTAGACATGGATGATCAAATGCGTAATTTATCCTAAATTATTTTGTGAACCAAGAGTCTATCTCTAATGTTAAGCTTCCTAGTGATGTTGGGTTTGGTCCCTTGCCAAAGCAATGTTTGGGCCCATAACAAGCCTTTCTCATAGATTAGTCTCCAACACGATTAAATGA